CTTGAAAAAGAAGAATCAAGCTAAAATGCTGAGTCCGGCAAGTTGTTATTGAGCCAAGCTTTGGTCATTAGAAAGCTAAATAGCTCCTTGTTTCGTTTTGTGTGTTTAATCTTAGCTGGAGCAGGTATAATTTATTATACAGTGAACAAAATTTGGCCGGAACAAACACGGGACTAGCTAACCTGGTTGCGCTAATCTTAAACTTCTATAGAAGCCCGATCAGTTTACCCCTCTAAAGCTTTCTTGCACGCCGCTTCCTCTTGTTCCACCAGTCGTCTGCTGCTGGGCACCGTGTCTTCGGTAGCTGATCTGCTGAGCTCCGCTCTCAGTGTTCTTGGCAACACAGTTCTCTCGGAGGTTTGTACCCACTCACCCACGTTACATACTGCCAGAGCAGGCGTTGAAAGAGAAGCCGCTCGCCCTATTACAAGTCAGTGTACCATCAAAATGATTTTGAAGTTGTTATTTTAAAAAGAAAATAGTTACATATTATTGCTTTAACAAGGGATCAAAGTCCACCAGATGGAGCTTGGGTTTTCCTTCTCATTATGCACCCCTGCAAATCTGAAACGATGTGAAACACCCCAACAGTAAAGACAAATAAATTTGCTTGACGTGAGCTGTGACACTGTTTACACAGAAAAGTTGGTACTTTGACAAAAATATGGCTCGGGATATAAGATCTGGTTAGGAATGGAAACAGCTCAAGCACAGAAACTGATTCACGGGGAGCCCCCTGGCTTCAACCGCAACTACAGAAAAAGACCCAAGGAAGAGACTGAGGATCGCTCAACTAAAATATTATTCTTTCACACTAAATGAGAAGTGAATATAATGAACTACAGAACAGTAACTTTTTTTCCCCTTTCCACTGTGACTGATTTTAAAATCCTCTGACCACATTCGGACTGTAAACAGCCTCATTTAATTTTCCAAATATAACCCAGCAGCTTCTAGCATTTAACTGGTGCTTTGTGTGAATCTGTCTCTCCTGGTCAGTCGTAAGGACAGCACCTCAGACAGCACAGTGGGGTCAGTGAGAAGTTAACTCACATTGGCCGGCTCCTGTCGTAGAAAGCGTTGCTCTTTGCAGCCTCTGCAGCCTGCACAGCTGCTTTCCTCTCCTCAAATTCCTCCCTGCTCAGGACCGTGCCCCTGTGGCCGTGTTCCACCAGCTTAAGGGCCAACTCCTTCTGCTTGAGATGAGAACAGAAGAAGAATCAGTGAAGAAGAGGGAGCATGCTTTACAGTCAAGGCTGGATATTGTCAGACGTTTGCAGTGCCGAATTTACAAATTGCGGCCTCTCAACTCACTAATCACCACAAGAGTACCGACAGATAAAACTTGAAATTTTCTCAGCTGGTTTTTAGGATTTACTTGTCACGCTGGTCTTTCGATTAAAAGGTGTCATTTCACTGCCCTGCCTAAAAGTGTGGAAGCGATGACCTGCTCTCCGACACCACCACATTTTTAGTTTTATGGGTTCAGGATGATTTCATTCCTATTTCCAGATCTATTTCTGTTGCAAGTGTGAGCATTAATGTATGTCAGCAGGGATTTTTAGCTACATTATTCCGATCGTCACTTGCAAACCTGCTGTCATTAAAGCAAAGCAATAAAGTCATCATCTAAAAACCAAATCTCGCCGTCAAACCCAGTGGCTTGTTAGATCAAAGCTTGTGCCACATGTCCTCATACCCAAAATCCCAGCAGCCGGGCCTGTGTCCGCACCCAAGAGGAAAAGTTATATTTTCCTTCAGCTTTGATGTGGCTGACCAGAAATGAGTCTCAGACCTTTGCTGGTCCTAAAATTGGCCTGAAAATCCACTCAAACAGATGATTTGAGCGCACACACCAGGATCTACGCTAATCAGCTAAGGTGGAAATCACTTTGTAATACACGGCATTTCAGAGACAAGACCGGAATAACATGATCTGTGATAAATGGGTTCATAATTAGTGGATTTATCCAGATTTGGCCCTTTTCAGCACAACTACACATGCCAGATGACCTGGGCTGAGTGTGCTGTGTCACAACACAGGGAAGAATCTGAATGATTGACTGCAGCTGATTATCAGGTCAGATAGGCGTTGTTCTCTCAATGTGGACACAGGTGTTCAAACAATTCCGCAGCAGACACATAACTCATTAGCATGGGCGCCATCTGCTGGACGGAAGCAGGACTGCTGATTTCTAAAGGGCAGGTTCATTTTCAACTTATTTAGCAGAATACGTGGCTCGAAAAACTTAAAGAGACCAACATGAAAGAAAGAACAAATGCGATTTAGGGCCTTTTAAAGGCATATGTTTGATAATATACAGCCTGAAAGCTACTTCTCCTGAGTCTTTCGTCCATCCCTGAAAAATATATGAAAATAACTAACCCTAACCATAGCGGAAGATAATGGATGGATGGATTATAATTTCATATACAATAATGCTACTTGTGCAAAGAATCTGTGGTCTATAGAGCACAACACAACAATAACAACAACAACAACAAAATGTAATACAGCCCGTTGTACTGTCTGTGTGGCTTTGAAACGGTACGACTGCCATGTGATACGAGTAATTGTTTCTCTACTTTATCGCATGAAACAAGCAGACTGGAGTGATGATAGCTGCTTGTTAAATTCAGAGTTTAAACCACAGACTGAATATAAAGAGTGAGTTACTGGTTTTATTCTAAACCTTGGTATGACTACCACCTAGCGTTGAACTACTGAAATTACACCAACAAGTCAAATCTGCTTTTAATGAAACAAGCGAACTAAGTCCAATGCAGAAAAAAATAATAATAACAGGGAGCAGTAACAAACAGATATTAACTTAAAACGATATTTACTGTCGATGAAAATAACACTTGAGGTATAGTATATGCCACAAGCCAGACAAGTTTTTGTCAACTATGTTTGGTTGATCACAGGTAAACAGGTAAACACCTTGTAAAACACCCATGAAGTTATTTTCATATTTTTAAGAGTATGTTTTTAATGTCGAGATAGTACGTAGCTAAAAATGGCCAATATT